ACGAAGACAGACGATAGAAGAAACTATCCATGTCAACTTTGACGAATTTCAGTCAGCTAATTCAAAACCCATCTTAAATGATGATGATAAATTAGAAAACTGGATGTTCTCTCACTATGGATAACCCGAAGCTTCCTTCAGCGTTCCTCTCGACACTGAAGCCCCTAAAGCTGAAGGCGATCCACTAATCATTCCAGTTGCGGCTAGTAACTCCAACACATCTTCTTCAGAGGTCACTGCTTTGCCCATTAGCTGTATTCCTCCTTCTACTTCAAACATTGATCAATCAGTGAATGAAATGCCTTCAACACCTGAACCTATTTCAATCGCTGAATGTGAGGCTCCTTTAGCAATTGTTCCTATTGCTGAAGATACTGCAGCTGAAGCCTCATCTTCTGTTCCTGAACTTCCATACTCAGATGATAATCCTCTACCAGCTCAGCAATGGACTAAAGACCATCAAATTCATCAAATTCTTGGTGATCCAGATGCAGGTATCAAGACTCGTCATGGTCTAGGTAATATCTGTCTTTTTGTCAACTTTCTTTCCTTAGTTGAACCCAAGAAAATCAATGATGCTATCTCAGACCCTAGTTGGATCCTTGCCATGCAAGAGGAGCTCATTGAGTTTGATAGTGACCCACGTCCTTCTGACAAAACAGTGATAGGCACCAAGTGGGTCTATCGCAACAAGTTGGATGAAGAAGGTGTGGTAACCCGTAACAAGGCTCGACTTGTTGCTCAGGGTTATAGACAATAAGACGGGATCGACTATGACGAAACCTTCGCACCAGTGGCTAGACTCGAAGAATTCGACTCTTCCTAGACCTTGCTGCCCATAGAGACTTTAAAGTCTACCAAATGGATATAAAGAGCGCTCTCTTTAATGAAAAACTTCTAGAGGAAGTTTATGTTGAACAACCTCCTGGGTTTCTTGACCCTAATTATCCAAACCATATCTATCGTTTGGATAAGGCTCTTTATGGGTTAAAACAGGCTCCTCGTTCCTGGTATGATACCCTTTCCTCATTTCTCATCTTTGAGAAATTTGTATGTGGAAAGATTGACCAAACCTTATTTCTTAGGAAAGTTAAAGGTCACATTATTCTAGTCCAAATTTATGTCGGTGATATCATATTTGGTTCCATTAATCCTTCTTTATGTTTTCGTTTCGCTGATCGCATGAAGAAAAAATATAAGATGAGCATGATGGGAGAACTAACCTTCTTTTTAGGTCTCTAGATCAAAAAGTCAGATAATGGTATCTTTATCAGTTAAAGTAAGTATGTTCGTGGCATGCTGAAGAAGTTTGATATATCAAATAGTTAATCTATGAATACTCCAATGGCTTCTCCACTTTCTCTCAACAAGGATTCAAATGGAAAGCCTATAAACGTAACTGTTTATAGAGGAATGATTGGCTCCGTGCTGTATCTCACAGCTAGTCGACCAGATATCATGTATTCTACTTGTTTATGTGCACGATATCAATCTGAACCTAAGGAATCCCATCTGATTGTTGTAAAATGCATCTTCAGATATCTTAAGGGAACTCTTAACTTGGGTCTCTGGTACCCTAAAGGTTCAGGTTTTGATCTAATAGATTATTCAGATAGTGATTTGGAGGTTGCAAAATTGACAGGAAAAGCACCACTAGAAGCTGTCTGCTTTTAGGTGGAAAGTTGGTGAGCTGTACAAGTAAGAAGCAAAACTCAGTGTCCACATCAACCGCTGAAGCTGAATATGTGGCCGCTGGTAGTTGTTGCGCCCAAATTCCTTGGATGACATATCAGCTGATGGACTACGATCTTTAGTTTTCAAAAGTTCCTATCTATTGTGATAGCACCAGTGCTATTGCTATTGCAAATAATCCTGTACTTCATTCCTAGACCAAACATATAGAGATCCGATATCATTTTATCAGAGATCATGTTATGAATGGTGACATTGAAGTTCACTTCGTTCCAACTGATTATCAGCTTACTGACCTTTTCAACAAGCCTCTTGAGGAGACAAGATTTAACATCTTGATCAACGAACTGGGGATGCTAAACATTGAAGAATAATTTTCAGCTATTAACATCGATCAGTAAGTGAAAGGATTTAGTGCTCTATCTTTGTCACTAAACTCTTGAGTAAATGTATCTATTCTCTCTAAGGTATGATTACTTATTCATTTTCTTAAAAATTTAAAACTATCACTGAAGCTTTCCTTCTTCAGTGATCAATTCGTTTTAAAAGTTTGTTTCAGTGATTCTTTGCTCACTTAACATTTTTATAAGTATATCTCTCTTATACTTATCTTTTCTTAAAAATCAAAATGATCACTGAACCTTTCCTATTCAGTGACTCAAATGTTTTTATTTGTCAGTTCCAGCGATTCTCTTATCACTGACACTGAAGTCTTAAAACTACCACTAAAGTCTTTCTCTCTTCAGTGATCAAATTTTTTTAAAAGGTCTTTTCAGTGTTTCTTTCAACACTAAATGACTCTTTGTTTTTTTAAAACTTTTTTGTTTTTAAAAGAAATAGGTAATGAACTGTGTTTATGACGACATTCCCTATTTACAATGCTCAACGCTTTGAGACGCGCAAAAAAGACTGTCATACGTTACCTCATTAAATGCCATCCAATCATGGATGAGAACATACCATCTTTTTCATCATGGCCTTTTTCCTCAATCGTCGTCTTTTTCTCTCTCCTATCTATTATCTCTCCTCCTACCTATAAATATGTGACTTCTCTCTCATTTTTCTCTTTACGCTTTTAGAATATCAAGACGAACCTCTGTCAATATGCAAAGCAAGAACTCCAAAAATTTCTTCGAAGACCTTCCTCCTCAAACCAACTAAGGTCGATACACTTTCACTTCTTCTTCTTCTTTTCTTTTATGAGAAATGTGTTTGAAGTTTTAAGAACTTTGTTCTCTTAAAAAACAAACATTAATGATTATAAACTCAACCTATTTCTTGGTTATAATCATATTTCATCAAACACATTCTACTTGAAAAACCCTAATCCTTCTTCAAGGATTTTTCAAAAGAAATTTTTCTTGTTCAAACACTTAAATCTATACACAACTCTTGGTTTAACTAACACTATTTTTATCTTCTTTTTCTTACTAAAAACAGATGGCTGCCAAGAATGTAGGTTTTACAATCGATGAAGTATCTTTCAAGGCCAACAATCACGTTGCCTTGTTAGAGATCCCTTCAAACAAAGCCTTCTACAAGGAAGCGGCCAACTTTCTCAAATGGTCGTCTCTTGCGTTTGCTCTTAACCATGAGCCCATCATGGTTATAGAGGCTCTCCAGCAGTTCTGGTTCATTGCTGAAGTGGTAGAACTTGAAGACAAGCATGGCCACCAAGTTGAGCAGATCACCTTCACGTTCAAACGTTCAACCGTATGACCGTGAACTTCAGAGTCAACACCATGAGGACTGCTCTTCGCCTCCCCAAGGGCCCCTTTTATAGCGAGCCCTCCACTGCCGAGATTATTCAATGTCTCGATGCCATTGGCTACCAGTGGCCAATGAAAAAGGACTCAAATGCTCCCATGAAGTCCTTATCGAAGATTGAGAAAATAGGATATCAGCGATCTGGCAATACCTGTTTTCTCACTTCATCAGTCTATGGGTGGAAAGACTGGAGGACAAGACCAGGCCTCTAGAGTCTCCCTGACGATTGGAATATCTGCAATTCAGCGTCGCAATATAAATTATGCTGCAGTTATTTTCGATGACCTGGTGCAAAAGCTGAACAAGCGCCAGCGAGAAAAGGTAGTACCATACACAAGGTTCCTATCCATGGTTTTTGCAAAGATATTTTCAAAAAAATATTCCAAGGAAGAAACCTCAAGGTGTGTAGGCTTGGATCCAGAATTCTGGATCACAAACTGAGGGAAGGAGACGTTGCACTTTCTTCTATAGTGCCCTTCTCTCCTCCGGTGGTCAAGACAAAGGAAAACCCCCTGTGTCTAGCCCAGCCACCAAAACCTCCTCAAAACGTCCTTCACAACCAACTCTTGGTTCTCCTCAGAGAGCCAAAAAGGCCAAAAAGGCCAAAAAGGGGATAGCCACATCTCTTGCTGAGACCTCTCGACAGGTTTCAGCTATTGAAACTAGCCTCAACCCCGAGGCAACTTCAGCTACCCTTCCTAGCTCTTCAGTTATCTCTCGAATCACTGTCGTATCAGTGGCACCTACCTCAACCGCCTTAGTGACCCAAATCAATGAAGGTATGAATATGAGCGCTGCCATCGTTGAACACCCATATCTTTTCTCAATCGTTTTCTCTTATCCTCCTTCTTTGGTCGCTACACGTGTTTATGACTCAACAATGAATGTACTCCCTGATGATGAAACACACACCACTGGACCTGAGGTTGCTCCTTTCAAGGCTTCTCAGCATATAGATGTTCATCCTCTCGAGGGCATCATTGAGCAAGCCAGTGACAATCCTTTAGATGTCACTAATGGCACCTCAGGTATTCCATCTTCCTACCMTTTMAGTTCTTCTAACCCCGAGCTTTATATGCTCACTCTCCATCTATTGCAGGTCTTTCTTCTACGCCTCAGCGTATGGAAGAAGAAGAAGAGAAGGAAGAAGAYGGRGAAGAGAAGRAAGAAGATGAGGAAGATGATGAAGATTATGACATGGCGTCTAATGTCAAGCTTTTCCTCCCAACTGTAGATACCGTCTTCTACAAGATGTCTGAAGTTCATCGAGAAATGCCTCRCAAGGCARAACTTGATGCGGACCTCTCAGCTGTCAAAGCTGMTGTTCAAGAAGTAAGGAGTYAGCTCTCGACTCTACGTGAGGCTATTCGAGCCAACRCTGAAGCCATCGCTGTTCTATMCAGCARGGCTGATGACGCTCAGGCTCAGGCTCAGTCTCTTCACCAAACAGCTTCTCCAGCAAGATCCTAGATGCTTTCTATCAACCAGAACCAGTGATCCYGCCTTCTTTCACTGYTGATGAMCGTGCTCAGCTCTATAAGATGCAGGAARCAAYGACAACCCTAGCCAGCGCTCTATCGTGGCTAGAGGGAATGATGGTTCTCCAGCATCAGCGCGTGGAYGAACTCTCTGKCCTATACTCTCAAGTCTTAGCCAGAGAGGGTAAGATGMGGTCCAACGYTGCTGGACCATCTGCTGCTCCRGCAATCCTTGAAGCTGACGCTTCTAGAGCTAAAGTTGAAGTTGAGACTRCCCAAGAAATCCCAACCTCMRGTGAAGCTGTTATAGTTGAGGAAGTTGATGCCATCCCTAGGGATAATGATCTTCCCATCATCTCTGCACCTGTTGTTGGTGATGATGATGATGAAAATGAAGATGGTGATGATGACGAACCTGACCTTCCAGACTCTGGCAGTGACCTTGATGGTGATGATGACGACGATGATGAAGATGACTTCACCATTTAATATCAACGACCAATAACCACCACCAAAGGAGTCGCCCTCAGGGATTCTGCATCCCAAGGGGAGTAAAGGGAAGAAGAGTCTGCCCCATCAAAGAACCAGGACCCTAAGTCGAAAGGCAAAGGTGTCGCTGAAGAAGGGAACCTGAAGGTACTTTTCAAAAACTCTCAACCCTTATTTGAAGACTCTACCTCTCAGGTAGTGGTCACTTCTCTATATCAACTTCATATTCCCTCAACTACCTGCGGTCAACTGGAGTGGGTCCCTGAAAACCCTGTCTYCAGTACTYCTACCGACCAGCAGATGGCTCAGCTTAAGGGGTCACTCGACCAGACTAGAATAAAAATCCCTCTTCGTACCTCTARTGGTGGTGAGTTTGACTTCCTTTCAGAAGCTGAAAGACTCGAGAAGTTAAGGGCTGAAGAAGAGTTAGARCTTTAAAAGAAGTAGACTGAAGACAGCCTAAAGCTGGCCAAGTCATTAGCTAAAAAGATTCTCCCAAAAAGAAAGTCCAAAAAGAAGGTGAACGTTGTCCAAGCCCAAGCTAAGTTACTTTCTCTTGCAGAAGATGAGCATGAGAAAAATTTGAAGCTGGCTGAGCGGGACAAGCGCTGGAGCGAAGCAAAGCTGAACAAGAGAATTAGTCCTCACCTGATCAAGAGCGTCAACATCATCGAACGATCCAAAGACAGTGGAACTTTTATCTCAATGCTCATCACTAGGGACAATCTCGATGCCATCACCGAGTACCCTTCCTACCTTAGCCACTACGGATACAATGAATGGCTGGAAATCAAGCAAGCCATTCAGCAATCCAAGTCTAGACATAAACCGATTATCGAAGACATCATCAACGTTCTCATCAAAAGGATGTCTAGGTATGTCGTAGTCCCTGACAGGCCATCTCTGAAGAAGGGAGGAAGGAAGAAAAGACCCTCTAGTCCTAATGATGGACCATCCCTGAGGAACGAACATGAAACAAGGTTCTCCTTATATGATGTCCTAAAGGAATATGAGAGTATAAACGTCTCTATGCTGAATCTTGATCTGCTAGAGAAGGGTCCTTATATACCCAACTTTGTGCACTTCAAACCTAAGTTAGAAGTTATATTCCTTGACTATGAAGGTGAAGTAAGATTCCAGAGAATGTCTGAGTTACATCTATGCTCGATGGGACATCTTGTTTATCTTATGTTCAAGATAGATGATAACTTGCAAGGAAAAGTGGTGGACCGAAAGATATGAACAGAATTTCTACGTCGAAAGAAGTTTGGAGAAGATGTACCTTACTACATTAATATGAACATCCTAGACTAGTTTATCTTTCTTTGTAATATTGTCTACATTTTTTTTGTAATCTGCTTACTATGTTTACTTTCAGTGATTAATCTTATAGTCTGTAAGTTTTTGACAAGTACTGAATATCTTGTAATATCTCCATTGAATATAATATATGTGTTTTTGTAATTCACTGAAAAGATCCCTGAAAAAAGTAATAGGGACACAAGTCTATGAGTTCCATTGTTACTTTTCACATTCACTGACAATCTATAAGTCAGTGAATAAGCTTTTAGTTTCAGTTTCCATCCTTGAAACTTTTTTTTAAATACAACATAAGAAAATTCTTCAAGAAAAGACTGACTCATTGAAAAAGATCCCAAAATAGTTAAAAAGGACATGTACTTTATATGATACTTTTCCTTACTATTATTTGATTAGACAACTTTCTTCATGTTGTCTTGTTATAATCAAATAGGGGGAGATTGTTGATTCTCTCTCTCATTTGATTTGATGATAATACTTTTTATCCTATGTGAAGTATTTATGTTTCTGTTTTTCAGTTCCAGCAATCATCACTGAGTCTGTTCAGTGATCGCTGAAAAACTTGTATTGTAAATCCAATCATCAACAATGATACTTCAAGAAGACAACATTCACACCAAAGAACCTTCAGCGAAAGTCGAAGACTGAAACTGAAGATTAGAGACTGGCGAGTATGTGATCTGAAGCAGTATTCAGTGATTACAACCTTGTCTATATATGTGTGAAGACTGCCCAAGCCTCGGCGAATGCTTAAGAGACTTTCAGGTTATTCCAGCATTCAGCGATCAAAAGAAGCTTGTCAAGCACGATTGTTGTTGTCTTGTCCTTAGACACACAAAGGACAAACCCATACCCTTTCTAAATGTTAGAACGGTACGGAGCCGACTAGCTGACTTTATTACGTACCAACTTTATGAAAGGATGTCTGCTCATGGATAGACTTTTGTACTATTCATTGTAGCAAAGGACAAGCCTTTCCCTTAAGGCTTGACACGCTTTCTAACCCTATTACGTTGCATTAAATGTGCATTTAATGCAATGGGTATAAATAGATGTGTTCTATCTCCATGCAGAGATACACAAATACTCTTAGACCCTTACTCTGAGCTTTCTTATGCTTAAGTAAAAGAACGCATACATGTAAGAACAAAATTCGCTCATCTTCAAGAGCAAGTTAGAATCCCTTTTATTGTATTCTGAACAAGTTCTCTCCCAGATAGAACTTACTTTTTTTATTTCTTTAACAACAAATCTTTTCTTTATTTGCTAAGACTTAGTGTGTAAACTTTAGATTGTTTAGATAGGTATTTCTTACCTTATCTTTCCACGAACAATCTTGTAAAATATGTATTGATCTTCTCTTGTGAATATATATTTTAAATTTGAAAATTTTGTGTTTCTATTCATCCCCCCTCTACAAACTGTTGTACACATCTTGTAGACCCTACCGGGTCCAAAACAAATATACATCATTTTGATATAGCAAACCTCATTTATTGCATCCAAATATTCAATCAACTTGATAAACACATTCTGTGTAAACTTATCGCATCATATAGATGATTATATAATCTTCTAGCATCACATGGGTGAGACAACTCCATTTCCTTGCAACACA